CAACTGCTCACCAGAACAGAAACTTATCATCCATACACACTCATACACTGATGCATAGCATCGGGAGCAATTTGGGGTTCAGTATCTTGCTCAATGATACTTCGACATGCAGTGAGTGAAGTCGGGGATTAAACCAGCAACCTGTCAGGTCACGTGTATTTTACAGATAAACAGTACACAGTACAGTAAAAGATTTGAGGAGAGGAATAGGCAATGCAATAACATAATCTTGATTCATATTTGATCAGCACTGCATAGTTTGTTCTGAGTTTATTGTGTAGCACTAGATGAACTGAGAATGACTTGTCCATCTCAAGTTAGCCATGCCTCAAAGTACAATCTACTTTATTGTCTATTGTTCTCTAAATAATTTCCTAAATTAACCACTTTCTGCATGGAAGAAGACTTGAAACTAGAAATTGAGACCATAAACTAGGTTAGGAAACTGTTTACTGACCTAATAAATCAATATTTCATTACATGCAACCAGCCTATTTTTACTATCAATAGAACTTCCCCGTTTTCCATTAGGAAGAATGCAGGCCCAAATTCACTGACCCAGAAACTTTTGGTCCTGTGTTCCTCCCTCTATCCACCTTCCCACTCCTTCAAATACATTAATTTGTCATTCTCCGCCCTTGGTCCCGGTCACCTGCTTCTTGACTCAAACATGCTTCATATTTATTTATATTTTTCCTGTACTATGTTTATTGTTGTACACCAATATACCATGGCAAATATGTATGTGAAAACCTACTTGACAATCCTAATTCTGAGATTAAAAAGATCCTCAACCGGGCTGATTGGAAGTAAAGATGCTGGGGACTGTTGTTAGGGATGAATGATTCAGGGAAACAAAGAGTATGCCTGATTGAGCCACAATAGATGACTGATTGTAGCCTTCAGCAGGGTCAAATTTTAGAAGACCACAAGGTTAAATGAGAGGAGGGATATAAAAAAATATGAGGTGAAAGAAGGCCTATAGAAAATGAGCGGAGACCTCATTAGGGTAACGATAGCTATTTACAGAATCAAGTGGTGAAAGTGAGAGAAAGATCCTCTAGTGAAGAAAAAGGAAGAAAACAGACACAATAGATATAATTAATCTTCTGAAAGATGGCCTACAGTATGTAAGTATGGTGTAATTGTGAGACCCTTGCTTAACATGCAACAATGTTCAAAAGAGTAAAGAAAAGAAATTGGCCTCGATAACAAATTTTGGATTGATTGTTGCATACTAGACCAGGATTAACTTGTGTTATTTGTGATGTCACAAATGATGCTCGTAGGCCCTGCCCCAGTTAGCACAGAGAAACTTTCCACTTTCAGGAGATGAATGTGAAAACATCCTTTTAGTGTCAAACTCTGCACAGACATCATTCTGCACAGTGAATATTAAACATCACACTGTAGGAACAAGATGACAAAACAATCTTTGAGTGGAGGGGAACTTTAAAAATATCCCAAACCCTATACCTACTTACAGAAGCAGGTTTCCTTTTTTCCTTTTCGCCCCTGCCATGTACAGAGTGTGCGCTTTCCACTGTATTACTAATTTGCGTTCATTGATAATAAATTCACATCACTATATAGCATATGCTAAATAGATATAACATCTAGCAGGAAGTAACACTGTTCAGTTGAATATTGTAGTCTTATTAAAACTTCAGGAGAGAAATAAGTCATTAGTACTTACTTTACGTTTAGCATAACAATGTAGTAGTTTTAACCATGGTAATCCTTGCTTTATGGAAGAAGGAAGATGACACTGTACCATAAATGGTAAAAATGGTAAATGGACTGTTCTTACATAGTGCCTTTCTAGTCTTTCGACCAGTCAATGCGCTGTACACTACATGCCACACTCACCAAGCTGATATTGTGGAAGATAAACTCCTATTTAAGCCTGACACAGCAAAAAACGATTGTTTTTTTAAAAAAAAATCAAATCTACATTTCTTAAATTTAAAGTGCATATTGGACCTATTAACAAAATCATTAGTGGAGGGACAAACAGAAAGTGGTCTTCTACTATCACTACTATATCACAAACTGCCTCTAGGTGTCTCTGTAAACCAAATGTCTTTGAATCTTTTATTGTCTCCTCTTCTGAAGTAAATTGAATTTAGGCTGTTTCCTTTTCAGAAAAGCACATGATGATCCTGTGATTTTTTCTCTCAATCACTGGAGCTGTTGTCATTGTGAGCGTTAAGTCCAGACTGAACTTTACTGAGGCAGTTTGGAGCAGAATGCATCCAGTCCATTGGTTCCTTGCAGCACTGTTGGCAGTTGGCACCTCTGGGCTTTGTTGTGCTGGACCTCTGCATGCCCAGTGCAAAGTAGAATGGTACGCTTTATTTATTTTACATATTTTGAGCTGTGTTGTGTTTGGTTTAAATAACAAAAACTCTATTCTATTCTAATCTAGGAGTCCTGGGGATTAGCACAGTCATAGTTATACCAAAAGCTGTGTACAGTATCTGTTACAGATAACTATTTATTACATTTACTGAAGGATGAATTTTCTCTTAGTATTTGATGCATGTTATGATGATGAAAGCATGATGCATAGGTTTTGGTCATCAGCAAATATTCTGTTATGCATCATTCAGTGTTGGTGAGGGTTTGTATGTGGTCATTGTTCCACTTTGCCAATGCAGTCTTACTTTTTTGACCATTAAAATGTTTTTATAATGCCTAGCCTGTGCTCTTTTTACTTTCAACATTTTACTTGATGTTGAGAGAATTCATAGTCAAGTGATTGTCAGACCTGTGTCAATCTGGTTCGACTGGTATTATATTTAAACCATTCATTTTCATTTTATTTTAATTTAATGTATTTTACTTTTGTTGGTGTAATATATGTGAATAACATGAAGACATATAGGGCTGCATAATTATTTACAATTACAAGTTTTTTTATGAAGGTAAAATATGTGACAAACAACTTTATAATTAAGTCCTGTAGTACTGCAGAGATGCCCTGACTGACAAATCTTGTTCTCCGGATGTAAGAAACCGATGTTTGTTTGGTATAGACCCCCCAGAAATTCACATCATTATGATTTTGTTTATTTTAAAATAATCATTCCCACATTAATTGTGAATCATTTTTATGTGTCAAAATAATCGGGATATGATGTTTAAATCATATTGTGCAGGGATATGAGACTTGACAAGGCAATACAGAGAAACAATGACAACAACCAAGAAAAAAATAAAAATAGTCACACAGAACAGTGAGTATATCTGAAATTCGTAACCCATTGTTCTAGATGTGTTTTCTTGGAAAATAAAAAAGCAACCCCTGGTGATAAAAAGTAGTAGTAAAGTAAAAACTTGCTGTAGCCTCATACTTTAAATGATTTGGAAAATGACAATAGATTTGTGCCTAGCTTAGCTACTAGTTTAAGTTCTGTAATGGGTTAATAACTTATTCCATGGCTGCTTTTGTAATTGTGATGACAATTGTGATTGGTTGGACAAAATAAGCAGAACAAGAGTAAAGCCCAGCAGGAAGCTACCATTCCTCCAGCCAGTTTGTCCAGTGGGTGGCACTACAGGAGAGGCCATGAGGTCATTTGAGGCAAGGATGTGTGAGCAAACGTCATGAAGATCTGCTAAATTAGATTTTGATGTTTTCCATGCAACTGGAAGTTGTGGCTTGAAAAAGGCACTTAAGGTCATAAATAGACCATGAATCATATTGGAGTGAAGAAAGGGCCAATGACACGGTATTTCTACTGTGAATGGAAACCTCTCCTTCAGCTGAGCTACAGCAATCA